CATTTCTGATGTGTCATGCATGCTCTGCTTGCTTTTGCTTTTGCTTTTTCTCCATTTCCAATGTGTCTTGCATGCTTCGCTTGCTTTTTGCTTTGCTTTCCCCCCATTTCTGATGTCTTGCATGCTCTACTTGCTTTTCTTCCCCGCCCCCCTTGGCCAGAAAGAATTAAACGTGTTTCTGATGGGTCTTGCAGTGATTCCTCGCCCCCCTTCGGCCGGAACGAATTGCATTTCAATGGGAAATGGTGCTTGAACAGTTACGCCCATCTTCCAGAATGGATTAAGTTTGTAAGTCGAGGCACCATTGTACTTGCTGGGACCCTTATATGGTGGGTAGGGGATGGTTCTTTGCTGGGAAACATGGTTCCAATCCAAATTGTCCCATGACACCAGTTTTCATTGCCAAATACTGTTCCATTGAAAGGGATGGATCTTTCCTTTGGGGACAATGCAGGCATGGTGCCCTGATCTAGATGAAAACCACAGCATGCAGGAAAATATTAAAACTCTCATCCAATATTTACATTGGAATCAGAAGAAAAGAAAGATATTGCTCACGTTAAGTACATTTGGCTTGACCCTGATTGACATCTCTTCTGATTACACACCCAGCCAGTGCATTGGCACCATTTACCTTTTCTTGGCTAGAACCAAGTGACATTAGAGAGAAATAGACATTTGAAATGGGCAAGTAAAATCTTAATGTGTAATTTCTTCAATAATACATGCAGTACATTTGCAAATACCAATCTGACATTAAGGTTACTGTCATATTAAGTGGAAATACATGGGTGATTCACTAGAAACAAGTAATTGAATGATAGTATTAATATAGAATTTATAAATATTAAAATAGTGCATTAATTTTAAACCTAGTTCTGCAGTGAAAACTTGGGCCAAGAGATGATTTGGATAATTCTGAAAAATTAAGAGGAAGCTTGGAAGTGATCCAAAATATCTTGATGCAGTTAACCACAAAATAAGAGTTATTAGCTTATCATAATTGCAGCCAATTTTTAAAGTAACGGAGTACTCCACTGTGGATTGCTGTAAGGAAGTGGAACAAAGCGTGTGAAATGAACAGATGGATTTGATTTTAAACAAATTAAGCCCACTCCCTGGGATGTAACAAGTGATTTTGTAGTTTTCCATGTTATGTGTTAACTTCCCACTGTGACCTTCTCAGCCTGCTTGCTAATTTTTTTTCTTGTCATTAAGCACAATCCTTGAAAGAAGTATGAGGGCTTATTATTTCCAGCCGCAATGCTCCCATCGTTAGTTTCCACTTATTTAAGGCAGGGGTGGGAAATCTGTGGCTTTTCAGATGTTACTGGACCAGAACTCATACAATTCTTGACACTGCCTGCTTTGGTCAGGGATGATGGGAATTGTAGTTCAACAGTATCCAGAGTGCTCTATTTCCCATCCCTCCTATAAGAGCTGTTTCATATCATGTACAGTTTGCATGCAGCAAACTGTACATGTTTCTTGTACATTAAGTTCCAGCTTGTGCAGGGAATGCACTTTGTGTGAACTTAGCCCTTAAAGCTCAAAGAAGCAGTCACTGAGGTTTAAAAGGAACTGTTACTTCCTTCTTGGCAAAAATGAGATCTCAGGCATTGGACCTATATATGCCAGTGCTTCCCAGCCTTGGGTCTGCAGATGTTCTTGGACTACAACTCCCAGAAATCCTGGCCAGCACAGCTAATGGTGAAGGCTTCTTTTAGTCCAAGAACATCTGGACACCCAAGGTTGCAAACGACTGATATATACCAAGGACTATTTCAGAACTGGGATGACTATGATTGTTATTATTATTATTTTGAACGACAACTCCCAGAGGGCACTGCCAATGCTGGCTGGGGGATCAGAGGTGCTGCAATCCAAACAAACAATGATTCCCAGCTCTGTGGGGCTATGCATTTGCAAGCAGGCAGACGTACTTGGTCCTCTCCCAGAAGAGGTTGCTATCAGACCTGCCAAGGAACTGGGAACCTCCAGTTCCACAGGTTGGCTCATAAGAACCAGAAGAAAGGGCTGGGTTCACAATAGGAGTTGTCAGAAGAGGAACTATTAAATCCCCCACAGCTATCAATGGCCTGCAGTGACCATGGAAAGGAATATGTGTTCAACATAGTTTTCCTACTGAATAGTCGGTGCTGTCACAGATGGCATTGACAAAATTGGTAGTTAAATATTTAAGGAAATGGGGGCAAACACAGAATTGATAGCCTGTGCTTGTTACTTATGTCCACTGTTTATTACCCCAGCTCGTTATAACTAATCAAAGCACCTAAGGATAATGAAAAATCTACCAGGAAAACAAATAAAAATACAGTACAGTAAAACTGAAAAGCCATCCAATTTTAAAAAATAAAATAAAACAAAACACAAACTGAAAGCAGCATCAGGGGGTGGGGGGAAGCTGGTAAAATAAAACAGCCTTTTTGGCTTTTGGTGGTCATTGGGGGCAGAAAGATTGCAGATCTAGAGTTAGGGCCCAGAGTGGTCGTATAGACCAGATGGGCGGGATATAAATCAAATAAATAAATAAATTCAATAGGGGTATTGAGGTCCGTCAGCAGTGTTCATGTCTTGATGAGTGCCTGCTAAGCCCTCTTTTCTGCCTTTGTCCTGTTGCAAGGCCCAGGAAAGGCCTGCTTCTACATCTACCTCTTCTGAATCAACCATGAGGAAAATGAGTGACAAGGATCATTGTGTCTGGGTGGGTTGATATGGGGGAATACTTTCTTGATACATTCTGGCTCCAGGCCATTTAGGATTTATAGGTCAAGACCAGCAGCTTAATTAAATTGCACCCAGAAACAGACAGGTAAAGTAAGCAAGGTATAACTATCCTCACTGCAAAATATAGTTCTGTCAGCAGCATTTACAAGAGAAATGGAAAAAGTTTGAAACTTAAACCTGAAAATTACAGAGGAGGATTGGCCTCCTGGAGTCGACTATTACTAGTTGCTGTAAATCTACTTCAGGAGGGTCAGACAGCATGTACACAAAACTCATTTCAGAACCTGATAGACAGAAGATCCTTAATAGACACCCCTACTGTGGAGGTTACAAAAGATTGATAGCCTTGTGACTGCATACTATGCTAAGCCTTGAAACTCTATCTTTCCGTGGGTTCAGTCCATCAAAAGAAAGTGCTGCTGAAATATAAGCATTAGAACGACTGGAACTCTGTGCTCATTTAGAAATAAAGAATGCAAAATAAAACCCTATATATGTTGATCTACGTAAGCAGAAGTAGTGGATCATCACTTTCCAGTTCCTAATTCCTTAAGGGTGCCGAGGACTGGGTTAAAGTGAATATACATAACCACTTCTGCTTATCCAAGAAGCCAGAATCATCACACTTACAAAACAAGACATCAACTCTTTTATGAGCCTTTAAATAACATTGTTTACAAAACTATTTTGACAGGCAAACAAACAATTAAGGCAGTGGTCCTCGACTTTCGTATTTTATGCCTCACCAATCATATGATTAAAGAAACTACACCCCACCATAATAACATATACATGTTTGCAGGCATTCTATTATTGTATTAAATCCACCACTGATGGTAAAATGACATGTTAGAAGAAGTCAGGGATGAGGAGAAAGACTGAGGTCTTGATCCACTTGTCAGTCCCAGCTGCAAAGCATCTACTACTGAATGTTAATGTCATACTCATGTAAGTTGCATGATTCTGAGGGTCTGTTTTGTTGGAAACCAGCAGTAGAATTTAGGCATGTGTGTCCAAAGTTATAATTAATATGGCAAAAGTTTCCAGAAAGAATCTGTTGGAAAGGAGGGCCACAGTAGATGTCAGAAGAGGACATAGGGATCAAGGGAGATAAAATTCTTAATTATTGTTATGAAAACCCTGTAATCCACCTAGGCTACTTCTGTGTCCCACTCTGCTCACCAGTGCTTGAGATCCACTGCACTAAGGTATTTTAAATTCCAAGGGAACAAGGGAGTTATAAGCGGGGAGGGAATCTACCCTAGTATGTGAAGCAGTCTTAGCGAGTCTTTGATTTTGATACATTATAGTTTAAGAGCATCATGCAGCCTGATACCCCAAGAGATACATGCCAAATGCCCATGAAAATACAGTCACCCATATATTAATAAAGAGACAGGACTGATATATGTCTCTATTGGTATATACAGATAACAGTACTATTTTTAAAGGCTATTAGTCTAAGCCATCAAGTATAGTTAATATTTTACATTCCAAATGCAAACTTATACATATTAGGGCTATTACTATCCCATACTGCTATAAAATGGATTCAGTAGAATGAGCATGTAAATTGAAAAAGAAACTAATGTCTTTTCAGGCACTAGATACAAGAAAGGAAATTTCTTCCCAAATGGGAAACTTTGTGTGTAGTTCACCCAACAATGGTCTCACAGCTGGATCTGTCTCATTTTGGCTTCCAGGTAACCTTCTTCTGCATCACTGTAGCTAAGCTCACCACTTATCAAAATGCAAACCATAAAAGAGACAAACATCTAAAAACAGTTTCTAGCCCTTAGAAGTATTTCTCCTCATTCTCACGCCAGTAACCTATGCATCAAATATTATCATCATATGAAGTACTAATGTTATGCCCACATTGTTCTTGAACCACTTAAGCCTATTCCTTTCCTTGAAAGTGTTGTTAATTTTGCAACAATATAGCCCCACACAGAGCAACGGAATGGCTAAACAAGAAGCTGTTTTGTGACACAACATGGAAAGCAACCAGAATTTACAAACTGGAGGTAGATCATAGCTTGCAGAGGGTCTCTCTACAGTTTGTAACCCATGGTTTCGTTTCATTTTATATTTTGGTATACCCCAGTCTTCCAAATTTACATTTCTTCCAAATGTACTTCCAAAAAGTACTTGCTTTTCCATTTTCTGGAATACAAATGGGAATTCTGATTCTGAATGCAAAATGTTTGCAGAAAGGAAACCATCCCTAGTAAATTAAGCTTCATAAGATGTGCAGGATATAAAAACTTTATAAAATATTCCACAATTCTACTTCAGGTCATTACAAGTTTTAAATTACAAAAGGTGTTTTTTAAAAAGATCATTTAAGGGGCACCGGGGGAAGAAAGAGACCATTTATTGATACTAAAGCCTTTACTGTAATAAACCAAATATATTTACAATTTATACAAATGTTTGATCTTCAACCAAAGAAAAAAATAATAATACAAAAACCCATATCCCAAGAGGCAAAAACCAGGAAACAAGTTTATCCAAGATACCACTGTTCTAAACAAGATAAAATGCAGTTGAAATTGCAAGTGCTGAAACATAATTCCACTTATTCAAGCAATGAAAATGATTTCTATGAGTTCATAAAGAGGGGAGGGGAACCCAAAAGGCTGCAATCATCTTCAGCAGATGCTCTTTAAAAAAATCCAACCAAACTATGCTACATTAATCCATTTTGCCTTCTTGCTTCACATTGGTCCAGTAGTTGGATGCCAAAAAGTTGTTTTCTGGTTTAATACAAGTTGAATAGTATCGTATGAAGATGTGGAAGTCAAGTTCTTCCTTTTTTAAAAAATACCAAAAAAAGAGGCAAAGTCCTTCTACATCTACAACTTATGAACAGTTTGGCCCAGTTCAACTCTTTTATCTTCTCAACACAATTTCTCAGTAGATAACTTCATAAACAGTAGCTTTCTTGTCTCCAGAGCCTGTAACTATGTATTTATCATCAACGGAGATATCACAGCTAAGCACAGAAGATGATTCTTTGGACTAGAAGAGAAAGAAACACAGCTATAATATATGAAAGTCTCTGTGTGAGAGATAAGTGTGTATGTGAGACAGATAGTGAGTGAGAGAGAAACAGACAGAGACCATAACCCTAACCCTTGTTTACTCTTTCCCACAACTTCCCAAATTGAGGGTTCACTTGGGTTAAGATATAATAGACACAACACTGTACCATATTTTCCCAAAACAGAATGAGAGATAATCTCATGCTTGCTTTCCTGAACAGCTAAGTAAAAGTAAAGAATACAAATACCAATTATAATAGGATTTCCCCCATTCTTCTTCATATTTCTCACTTTTCCCAGCATCCCCACTCACTAAATCCCGTTTTGTAAACACACTTTTTCATACCTGGAATATACTGGCACCGTATGGAGTCCGCCAGGCATTTAGAAGGTTATCTTTTCCAGTACTTACAAACCATTTGCCTGAAATAAGACAATCAATGAGAATTCAGTAAAGCTTCCCACAGAAGACTATTTCATACTACGTTTATCTTAAGGACAGAGCTTGGAACATTTGGTCTGAAAAAGTAATTAGTTCATCTTAACTATCAGAAATTGGGAGATTAACTTGTTGCTAATAACACTGAAAATGAAAAGCATTTAACTTGTTATATTAACATTATCAGTGGCTTCACTCAAATGTTAATCTGGTGGGCCCTCTGCATATAAGGAGAGAAGTACTTATATTTCCCTTCCAAAGTTGTATATACTAGATAGCTAACCTCAGTCCTTCAGATCCATTTGGACTCTAAGGTTTACTTAATACAATTAAGAATCTGTAGTATTTCTCAGAGCTTGTGGGAGTTGTAGTTCAAGATCATGATGAGCCACAAGGTTAAGCACTGTCTATAAAGAGCTACTGTAACTGATCACTCCTAGTTATACTTCTTTAGCATAATACTATAAGAAGCTTATAGATCTAGTTAGAAGTTGACTCAGAGCCTGCCTCCCTGCCTCATCCAAGGCAGCTACTGAGATCATAGCAACAGATCCCATATTGCACATTCAGCATCGCTGTCCAAGTTCTGTGTGGGGGGTGGGGAGACAGTGGCATCAGTCTCCCTCGGATAGTATTTGAAAAAACAATGTTGTTTCGCACAAAATCCCAAATCAATAGCTTCTGTGCATGATGAAGCTAGCTTGGTTTACATGATCTCCAGGCTACAATTCCCATAAGCCCCAAGAAATACCATTGAGCCATGTTAATTAAGGCTTCTGGGTGCTGTGATCCAAGTGCATATAAAGGGCAAAGGCTATCTACTAGTATAAACCTAGTTTTGTAAGAGAAATGATGCTTTTCTGCTTGTGGAAGTAGAGTGACACATAACTTCTGCAGCGGGCCATGCTGGCTAACAGGTCTAATGAGTAAAGCTCCCATTAGCACTGATTCTCACACATTTGTAAAACATTATATTCTAGGAAACTTTTTCTATCATTGGTCCAAAAGAGATAACATATATAACTAACTAGAGTAAGCCCATTGAATCTGTGGGGATTTGATCAATCAGCTTTTATGTAAATTACACTGATTCAATGGGCCCACTCCAGTTGCAACTTTCTACCAAATTTCAGCTATTATTCTTAAGATCAGGTGGAGAAAGCATTTATTACAGGAATTAGCAAATTCTGGGGACCAACAAAATACTGTGCGGTCTGCACCTCCTTGCAAAAGGCAGTTCACTTTGGGTTTTGAAAAAAAGGATCAGAACTAGCCCTCCCACCCACATAAAAATGCATAGACAAACCAAATTAAGGTCCTGACACAGAAGAAGCAATGCTCTTGTGGCTAAATTATATTGGGAGGGGGATGTCTGGCAGCTTCCTTGAGGCCACAAAAATAGGTGGAAGCAATATGGCTGTCAAGATACATATTTCCCACCCTGGTTGATCATATATGGTTATGCTGCTCTTCAAGTTTCATCAGTGCATTTTTACATTAATGGGGAGAGAGGTGGAGAAGAAACAGTGGTGAGGAATTAGAAAGTATGAAATATTATCAGACATCCTTCTAGAGAAAACCAGCACAAATACCTATGTAATTCAACAACTTCTCATGCTGACAAGTGTTTGCTGCATGGTTACCCAATGCCTTGAGTGCTTGTTATCAGCCCTTGGGCATCCCCAGAGTCTCCCGATCTAGGACAAATCTACCTTTGTGAAGTGACTTGTAAAATGATCTAATTTTTCCCCCCAAAAAAAGGCATGACTACCTCAGCGAGCAACAGACTCCATTCAAAATTCTCAACATTCAATGTTCCAGAGCCCCAACCCCCACCCATCCTGGGCAAATTATGTGCCAGGAGCTGTGCAGGAATGTTGCTTTGATGGTACTCCCACTTTATAAACATAAAAACTGACCAAAAGCTTTGGCTTCAGAAATTAAGCTTGAGTGGGAACAGTCTGTAGAAACGTGAAAGGCCTCTAACCACTCTTCTTCGAACTTACCACAGTATGCAAATTTGAGGGATAGCACACAGCTCTCATGAAGATGAAGTTGATATTTGTCGGGCTTATTTACATGCAGCACTTCCACATTGCTGCTCTCCATTCCAACCGCCAGCCATTCACCAGTGGGGCAATAGCCAAGGGAAAATATCTTAAAAATAGAAAAGGAAAGGAGGGGACTGTGTTATTCAAAGAAATGGAGAAAAGAAACTGATAAACAGTAAAGAGTCTTGCAACATGGTATGAGTACATGAAGCCAAAAGGCAACACTGAAGTGTATTCAGCAAATATTGATGTACTGATTTGCTAATTCTATAATGAAAAACACACTTGCCACCTCCTTATGTTCCCTGGCAGTCATATGAGAGCTGGCAAAAGTCTTTTTTTTTAAAACTACACCTCCCAGGATAAGACAGCTGGTGTGGTCAGTAATTTTTCCAAACCCTGATTTCTATTTCCTTTGCTCAAACTATCCCAGCCAAACATGCCAGATTAAATTCCTATATGAATTAAACATTTCCAATGCTGTTTTTATAACAGAAAATAGTTGAATTATGTGTGAAAAGACACTACAGTCAAACAAGGTGCAAATTAGTTAGTGGGTGCTTCATGGACAAAAATGACTTTGCTTCACAGTTGTGACCTCTTGCATTTGAAAATGTAGCCTACGTTCCATAAAAGCTTATGCCCAATAAATTGCAACAAAACTCTCTTTTTGTTGCAAAAAATTTTTTTACAGGCCACCACAGTGACTTCTCTGGAAATATTTACTCTGCAGTAAATGCTTTGCCCGAAAAGTAGCCTGAGGCTATAATAACAATTTCAGTGAATAAAAAATATCATTGTAGTACTGATTTCACTATCCTAATACTTTAAAACCCAACCCCCTGTATAACTGTACCCCAGTATAAGAGGGAAGTGAAGTGTTGTATTAAACAGTGCCTTGAAATATGTAGCAAGCAAAATACATGACACCTGGGATGTGAAGTCATGCTGCTGTAACTGTCTCCCTTCTCTTAAGTCCCAGGATCTTACGGTGTTGTCCAGACCTCCTGTCCAGAGCTTGGTACCATCATTAGAAATGTCAATACAGCTGGCTCCATCTGTGTGGCCCTGGAATTGCCTGATAAAACAAACCAGATTGAATAATGATTTCCTGCCAGAACTCAAGGTAAACACTGTTGTGTTGTTAGTTTTGGACTCTGTGTGTATGTGCACCCACCAGCCCACACACACACACACACACATACACACACACACAGACACACACACGTGTGTGTGTGTGTGTGTGTGTATCATCCCTCTGGTAGGCAAACCCACAACAAGGCTCCTCCTCACACCCAATACAAAATATGCACACTATATACACAAGACATTTTACAGGTGCCAACATGCATGAAATAGCATCACAAATTGACTAAACAAGAACTAACCACACATTCGCCCAGATCTGTAAAAGGGAAAGAGGTGATTTGGGAAGCTCTAATGTAATTCACTATGACGACACCGGGAAATAAAACTTAACCGATTATGAAGTTAAACTCAAAGTACAAAGGACAAATTGCCTCTGCAGACACAGCCTGTTATTTATAGGCTTTGTTTAAGCCATGAATCAAGAACATAAAAAACACTTAAAAGATTCAGCTATATAAACACATGCAGGAAGAGATCTTAAAAAAAAAAAAACACCCTACGCTTTTTGCCTTGCATGGGCTGAGCCTGCAAAAACAATGCCCTTGGTAGCAGGCAGGTCATGAGCTGTCATCATTATTCAACCATGTTTTATGGTTTATACCTCGGTGTTCAGCAATCCCTGCTCTCGGTAACAAAGTGTCAGTGCAAGCCTTCCTTAATCCCTAAACTGGAGTGTTCAGAAGTCCTGCCTTTTTCCATCAGCAATTAGCTTGAGTTCCCTGCCTTAACAGCAAAAGAAGGAAAGGGGAGAATGACTGCCATGGGACAAGTGATGAATCAACCTGGCATGCCTGGAGTCACTGGCCGGAAAATTCAAGGAGTTATCACTTATTGCAGTCCTTTCACCCCTCTCTCCTAATTTTACTAACTGAATTGGAAGGTAAGAAATGAACCATGCCAAATTTTGCCACTCACTGACCAGGAAAGTCAGCAACAACCCTGTTGCTCCACAATCATTAAGTACATAACAAGAGAATAAATGGAACCCTTTCTTTTTCCAAGCCCACTATAGGGGATGGCCATGTTTAACCAATTTCTTTGTTCAGGCGAAGTGCATCTCTTTGATATTATTCAACCGTCATCCTTCAACGCTGAAGGCTGCCTGTTCTCCACTCTTACATTATGCAGTTAGCACTGCTGAAGGATTAAACCCAAAATTCATTTTTGTGCAATTACAGATTAAAGAGGGGGGGAAATGCCAAAGAATGACACAGCAGATAGAAAGGTGGAAAGGTGCCGCTCCTCTCTACAAGATGCTGAGTAGAATACCTCTTGTCTGCCCCACACAAATGTTCACATGGACCAAGCTGGACAAGACAACACTTTTAACACCTGTGGTGTGCAAGGAGCATCACAGGTACAGCTAGGGCCAGCCTATGGACTGCATGGCAGGGGAAACTTTAAGTCTCCTGTTTTTCCTTTCCTCTCTCCCTCTGCAGCCCCTTGCCGCATAACTGCAAAACAATTTACACATAGGCTTGCCCATCTATTTTGCAAAGCTTTGACTGATCCACACAAACAGAAACTAGAAACAAGCACCAAATTCATCAGCCAGAAAATAACCACAATTTTTTTTCTCTTGTAGATAAAGGCCTGAGCAAGATTACACTTGATCAAAATGTCAGAACGGAGGGCACTAGCTGATCAGCGTTTTGCGAAGTCAGGATCTGGTGTTACAGTACCCTTACAAACACTTTGCTTTTCTCCTTTACTAGCAGAAACAGAATGTATTGAGCACAGTGGGGATACGCAAATCTGCTAACGTCATATAAAAGCAATTTAGGCTGCAGAACTTGAATGTATTTGAAATTTAGACTACCTAAGTATAACGCTGAGATACTTCCTTTTAAGTGCCAAGTTCCCACAGCCCTGTTCATAATTAGGATGACTCATGCTGCCTGCAACTGTCCAGAAATGCTTTAGCACCCAAACTTTGGTGCTTTAAATAGCCTTTCATTATCAAGGCAGGTGCAAATGTCAGCCCGATTTGCTGAGATTTACTGTGGGTTGCTGCCAGTTTTGTTGTGATGTAGGAAAATTTGGTCTTGCAGTCCATAGAACACTATTGTATTACAAAGCTATTGGGGGGGGCAGTCAGAAGTGCATACTTTGCCCAGAGATTCATATCAGAGTGTATAAATGTATTCATCCTTCAATCTTGAGGGTTTGAAAAGAAGTGGCTTATGTAGCCATTCTGCTCATTACACTTCCTCCCTAACTTGCAAACCTACAAGTGTCTGCAAAAACAAAAGACTTCCTAGAGGATGTAGAAGAGCAACATAACCTGTTGCATAAATAAAGAAATACAGGACTAGGAAGAAAGAGAACACACCAAATTAACGTAAATAACTTTCTACTTTTATTTATCCTTCAATTCACTGAAAGATTTCAGAGATATCCTATAGATTTGGATCTTCACTTCCAATAGCTTTGGGACAATCTAACATTCAGTATAACCAACTAAGCATCTGGAGAAGGGAAAAAAATAAGGCTGGCCTGTTCCCAGTCTCACAGGAGACTGAAGTGGAAAAACCACTAAATTTAGATTTAGCAGGCTTTTACCTACACAGCAGAAGCACTCGGGACTTCTCAAAGATGTCCAGTTGGAGAATTAAAGAATACTGTATACCCAGAACGGCTGGATTAGAGCTTCTGCAAGCACTCTGAAGTGAGTGAACCAGCAACAACAATTCTGAAGGAAGGCTTGGGCTCAGGTATTAGCAAGCAGCATTGGCATACAGTTACACAGAAGACCTGTTCAAGTATTATATTAGTTGGCATTTAGTATACTTAGAGGGGAATGCCTAGCCCCACACCCTTCACTGTCACTTTACTCACAGTTTCAGGCACTGTTCAGTCACAGTTTCTCCTCTCCCAAGAGGAAAGGGCTGTTACTCAGGTGGTGGTTCTATGATGATTTTCCAGGGGTACTGCTCACATGTAGAACCTACACATGAGCTACAGGTTTCAAACTCAGTGCTGTAATTATTAGCAAAGGGACAGTGAATGGAGGAGGCCTAGAATTTCCACTCTAAGTGTGTCTAGAATGGTAACTAATATAATGCCTGGACAAGGCTGGAATCACAGGCATTCTTTCTGATAGTTTTTAGGGAGAGGTGTATTAAGAGTTCTAAAAATTGTAATTGTGTTAACTCAAAAAAAGTACAACTCCTATGACTAAAGAGAAGTCTTTAAGCCATTATTCTATTTTCTGTGGTCATTCCATGTCCCATGAAAGAGGGATTTTTATTATAAGATGGGGTAGGTGGGTGGCTGGCAGAGAGTTTTTAACAGCATTGCTGAAACCAATAGAAGTTTCACGCAGTGCCTTGAGGAGGATGGAACAGGAGGTGATCAGAAAGGGGGATGAGGAAGGAAATAGAGATGGAAGAGGTATGGCCACCACACTTATGTGCTGAAAGGAATAAAAGTTGTGTATAATGTGTGTGTTGCCCTAAAGAACATGGAAGAGGAAGTAGTCAGGAAGGGGAATCAGGAAGGATGCTGAAAAGGAAGGGAGAGTGCAGAAATGGTTATGTCTACTTTAGTTACATGACACAAGAACTGCACAGTCTCCTGGGGACATGGACCTAAAATGAATAACCCACCAGAGGATGGAAGGAATCTGAAGTATGAAAGCAGAATGGATGGTGCACATCAATGAAGGAGAAGCTCATGATTTGCATATAAAAGAAAGGGGGTGTAATTATGCAGAAACACTGGCATAATTTCACTATCATATTGTCAACTCTCCCAAGTGAAGGCTAGCCCAATGGGAAATTCTTTGCTCTCTCATTAGTTCCAGACATACCAAAGGATTTTGTTCTGCTTTCTCTTTTCCCCCCCGATGCATGGTATGCCAAAAGCAATCAAGGACAACTAGATAACCTGAAAATGAGCTATTAATATTCTGGCCACTCAGCATTTTCAGAGGTGTTTGCAGAGCACACCTGCTGTGCTTCAGGGAGGCAAAGATGGCTAGCAGCCAGTTTTTTTCTTGTTAAGATAAGAATGTTATTTATTTACATGCAATAAGAAATAAATATTGTCTGAAAGAGAGCAAAGGGAGTGACAACTGGAAAAGCGGTAGCCATTTCAAAACTCCAGCATGAGTTTGTTCCCTGCCTGTGGCCAGTCATTTATATCTGCCAACATATTCATGATTAAGCTTATGTAGCAAGCATATCTGTTGTTCATTTAAAAAAACCTTAATCATATGCATGATGGCAGAGGGTTGACATGGTCAAGTGACAACATCCTAATTATTGTCTGAAAATCAGATAGCCTTGAAGGTTTCCAAAAGCCAGAAGTGCTTTTTTTGCTCTCTGATTGTTTTTTGAATGAGTGGTTTTGGATTTTGTCTGGCATAAACTACCACTTCAAGTAGAATGTTGAAGCAAGGGCAGTCAAAATTCTGCACCGGAAAAGCTTGAATTTATTTGGAACTAATGATGGTCACTAAGCAATGCTTCATTGTTGCTTAATTAGTTGTTGTTGTTTAGTCGTTAAGTTGTGTCCAACTCTTGGTGACCCCATGGACCAGAGCACACCCGGTCCTCCTGTCTTCCACTGCCTCCCAGAGTTTGGTCAAATTCATGTTGGTAACTTCGATGACACTGTCCAACCATCTCATCCTCTGTTGTCCCCTTCTCCTCTAGCCTTCACACTTTCCCAACATCAGGGTCTTTTCCAGGGAGTCTTCTCTTCTCATGAGATGGCCAAAGTATTGGAGCCTCAGCTCCAGAATCTGTCCTTCCAGTGAGCACTCAGGGTTGATTTCGTTCTGAAGAGATAGGTTTGATCTCCTTGCAGTCCAGGGGATTCTCAACAGTCTCCTCCAGCACCATAATTCAAAAGCATCAATTCTTCAGCGGTGAGCCTACTTTATGCTCCAGGTCTCACTTCCATTCATCGCTACTGGAAAAACCATGGCTTTTACTATGCGGACCTTTGTCTCTGCTTTTAAAGATGCTGTCTAGGTTTGTCATTGCTTTCCTTCCAAGAAGCAGGTGTCTTTTAATTTCATGGCTACTGTCACCATCTGCAGTGGTCATGGAGCCCAAGAAAGTAAAATCTGTCACTGCCTCCATATCTTCCCCTTCTATTTGCCAGGAGGAGATGGGACCATTGACCATGATCTTAGTTTTTTTTAACTGTTCAGCTTCAGACCATTTTTGTGCTCTACTCTTTCAGCCTCATTAAGAGGTTCTTTAAGTCCTCCTCACTTTCTGCCATCAGAGTGGTATCATCTGCATATCGGAGGTTGTTGATATTTCTTCCGGCAATCTTAATTCCAGCTTGGAAGTAAGTCCAGCCTTTCGCATGATGAATTCTGCATATGTTAAATAAGCAAGGGGACAATATACAGCCTTATCATACTCCTTTCCCAATTTTGAACCAATCAGTTGTTCCATATCCAGTTCTAACTGTTGCTTCCAATTCCACATACAGTGGTGCCCCACATAGCAACGGTAATCCGTTCCGCAAAAATCATCGCTATGTGGATTCATCGCTATGCGGGCCAAAAAAGCCCATAGGAACGCTTTAAAACACATTTAATGCGTTCCTATGGGCAAAAAAAAGCGCATGTCAAGAGAACAAGCTGGTCACCACATGCGGCCGCCATTTTCGCTGCCCGGTAAGCGAGGAAAGGGCACGAAAACAGTGCGGGTGGCCATTTTCTTTACCTGGCGGCCATTTTGGAACAGCTGTTAAAAAAACATCGCTATGCGAAAATCCATAATTGAAATGCTTACCGATCATCGCAAAGCAATTTTTGGCCATTAGAAACATCGCAATGCGATCACTTTTGCGATCGCAAAAAACACATCGCTATGCGGATTCGTCATTAAACGAATTGCTCGTTATGCGGGGCACCAGTGTACAGGGTTTCTCAGGAGATAGATAAGGTGGTCAGGCACTCCTATTTCTTTAAGGACTTGCCATAGTTTGCTGTGGTCCACACAGTCAAAGGCTTTTGCATAGTCAATGAAGCAGAAGTAGATGTTTTTCTGGAACTCTCTGGCTTTCTCCATAATCCAGCGCATGTTAGCAATTTGGTCTCAGGTTCTTCTGCCCCCTC